AAAATCATCCAAAAGCTATAAAGTTCAGAGGCCAGATACCACAATGGCTCAAGAGATAAAACAAAGCAATAACGGTCTACCCAACAGGATGAACAGAAATCCACCCCACATATCAATTCTTTCAATAAATGTGAATGGCTTGAAATCCCCATGGAAGAGACACAGGCTGATTGAATGGATAAAAAAATACAAGCCATGTATCTGCTGTCTCCAGGAAACACATTGAACCCACAAGGACTCATTCAGATTCAAGGTGAAGGGATGAAAAACAGTATTAAATGCAAACAGAAACAAAAAGAAAGCTGGTATAGCATAGCAGTTTTCATATTAGATAACACAGTCTTCAAATCAACAAAAGTAATAAAAGACAAAGATGGTCATTATATAATGGTAGAGGGAACAATTTAACAAGAACACATAACAATTCTAAATATTTATGCACTTAACACAGGTGCACCCAGATTCACAGAGCAAATCCTACTTGGTCTTAACAAAATGATAAACACTAGCACCGTAATAGCTGGGGAATTCAACACCCCTCTGACAGAACAGGACAGACCCTCCAAACAGAAAATAAAGAAACAATGGACTTAAACAGAACTCTAGAAAACATGGGCCTGACAGACATTTATAGAACATTCTACCCAAAACCACTGAATATACATTCTTCTCATCAGCTCAAGGGACATTATCTAAGCCTGATTACATCCTAAGCCACAAAACATGTCTCAAGAAATTTAAAAAAAAGAAAAATTATACCATGCATCTTCTCAGTGGAATAAAATAAAAAATGAACCCAACAAAAACATTCATCACTACACAAAGTCTTGGAAACTAAACAACCTACTGCTGAATGATAGGTCAAGGAGGAAATTAAGATGGAAATCAAAAGATTTTTTGAACTAAATGATAAAGGGGACACAAGTTATCAAAATCTGTGGGATACAGCTAAAGCAGTCCTGAGAGGAAAATTCATAGCCATAAAATGCCTATATCCAAAAGACAGAAAGATCAAAAATCAATAATCTAAT